TGAACTGAACCAAAACTTTAAGTTCAGGTTTAGTTCAGGTTCATAAATTCAAAGTTCAGTTCAGGTTCAGGTTCAAAAATCTACAAAATTTGTGGTTCAGGTTCAGGTTCAGTTCAGGTTCATTGAACCTGAACCTGAACCCTAGAAACCCTATAAATAATAATTTGCTAAAATAAAAACCTTTTGAGTTTACTCAAAACCTGTCAAAAAAACTGGTTTTTTTTTTAAGATAAAGTTCTCTGGCTCGGCCTTAGCTTCATTTTGATATAAAATTCACTACAAATGGTCTAAAATTGACCATTTTATAGTTAAATTACTCTAAACTCCCTTATCTATGAACTTTTTTTTCTTTTTTTTTCTTTTTTCTCCCCTACCCTTTTTTTTCTACCCAAACCTGGCCCCAAACACGTTTTGGGCTCAAAAACTAGTAGTTCATTCAATTATTAATTCTATTTAAAAGTTTCTTTTTTAATTCTTTATTAAAATTGTACAAAACAAATAATTACAAATTTGTACTCATTTTAATTTATACAAATCTGTACAGTACTACTTGCTATTTTTAGCAACTTTATACAAACCACTTTGTGCTACAAGCCACACTAGCTATACCAACCACAGCCACAACTACACTAGATACAAAAAAGTTATACAAACAGTGTAACATTACATAAAACAAATTTTATTATTTTGTAAAGCTCTCTTTACAATCTTTAACACTAAGACTAAATAATCTACCAATAAGCTATTAAAATGCCTACTTTGATAACAAAAAAGCCAGATACTCATGATCTGGACTACTATTACAATAAATACCCAGAATACTTTAGTATTGACACTAAAGAATCTGATCTACTTACCTTACATATCTTATCTAAAGATGTCTATTCTTTAAACTGCAAAGCTAACAAACAGCACCACTATTTTAAAATGTTTACTCAACCAGCTTTAACTACCTGTCTCTGTCGCAAATTCTACACCAACTTCATATCCAAATACTACAAGATTACTCATTCTGCTACTCCTTCTTTCTCTCCCAAACGAATAGCAATAGACATCTCTCCAGCTACAAAAAATTACTGATCGTCTCCCCTATTCTAGAAAAACAACAAGAATTACAACATTCCTCACAAATTTAACAATCTAATCTTTATACAGATTCAACCACAATTGCAATTATTTCCCACTTTCAATACTTGTTACAATTACACAGTCAAGCTGCTTAAGCCCATAACTCAAGCCTGACTCAAGCCCATGACTTAAGCCTGACTCAAGCCCGTAACTCAAGTCTGATTTAAGCCTGATTCAAGCCCGTGACTTAAGCCTGTGACTCAAGCCCGAAGCCCAGATTTGTTACGAATCCAAGACTTCATTTGTATAAGAAATGAAGTAATCCAGTTGTAATAACAAAGCCATATATTAACAATGTAGTTATAGTTTTGTAGAACCTCAGCAATCATACGATAGCAATTAGTAATTAATAATAGAAGAATTATAGGATAAAAAGAAAGAAATTGTATACTTATCTCTTTAGTCTGTTCAATAAATTTTTCGTTGTGTCGTGCTTAAATTCCAGCTGCATCTTGTGTCATGACAGTTTGAACAGACTAAATAACTCATAGACCCATAGTCATATCGATTATAAATTTCAAACTTAGCACTCAAACAAATTTGTTATTAATAAAATTTATCTAATGAATAAAAAACAAGTAGCAGTAGTCTAAAATGGACGAACAACCAGACCTCAATACTATTCTTATTGCATTACAACAAATCCAACAAGAAAATTAACTTTTAAGACAAGAGAACATGGACTTTTGCAATGAATTTAACCAACTCCAGTTGTAAGGAGAGGCTCATAACTACCCAAAAGAGCCAAAAGTTAGCTTGTCTGACAAGTTGATAGAACCCGATCCAAGTTTAGAGGGTTTCTAAACCAATACAGCTCATTATCTGTCTACAGCCCAGCCATTATCCTAATGATAGAACTCAGGTAGGTTTGCTTAGCAGTCTGCTTGTAGGCCCAGCATTGGCATAGTTTGCCCCACTCCTTGAAAAAGAATCACCATTGTTGGAAGATTTCAATAGTTTTATTGGGAAGTTCGAATCTACTTTCGGGGACTCAGACAAGGTCAGAACAGCAGCTACTAGGATCAGAAAACTTACCCAGTGATCCAAATTTGCCTCAAGCTATGCTTCAGAGTTTCGTCAAATCTCTAGTAACCTGGATTGGGGTGAAGTGGCATTAATCGATCAATTTCGAATTGGGCTTAAAAACAATATGAAAGACCTATTACTTACCATAGAAGATCCTACATCGTTGAATAATGCAATATCTAAGGTGGTACACTACGATAACAGATTGTTTGAGCAACATTATGAACAACAAGGTTATAGTTTAGAATGGGGTAATTCAGTAACCAATTATAGTAGATCTAGTTTAACCCCAAAGCCAATGCAAATCAATTCAACAAGGGCAAGGACTCTTTCAGAAGAAGAAAAGCAGAGATAATGAGCTAATAATCTCTGTCTATACTGTGGCAAACCTGGGCATATAGCTAAAAGTTGCCTGAGGAAAAATAATGCCAAGCATAGATTGATGCTGTGGAAACAAATTTGGAGAACTCAGGAAAAGAGGAGCCCCAACTGCAGTAAGGGGTCTGCAGTTAGATAGCACTTATAACGAAAGCCCCAAACAACTATTCCCAATACTTTAATAGATATTTTTGTTATACCAGTATCCATATAACTTTCGAACAAATCCATGTTGCCTATCAATACATTAATAGGCTCCAGAGCTTTAGCTTGTTTCCTCGATTATATGTTGGCACACAAATACAACTTATCTATCAATACTAAAAGCATACTGCTGTTAGTAGAAGTAATAAATAGATGAGAAATATTGTTTGGAGCAGTTATACATGAGACCAGGCCATTGCTGCTATGTTATCAAAACTATTATGAAGAAATCATATTTAACCTGATTCAAATGCTGCATCATCAAGTCATTCTGGGACTACCATAGTTAGTCCACTACAACTCTAACATTAATTGGCACAAGCGTATACTAAAATTTCCAGATACAGATTGTAATCTACATCTAAAATACCCATTGACAAAACAACCAACAACCCCACATCAGTACATCAGAAAGAGTCTTCTTGGCTCAAGTTTTCCACGTAGCCTCTGTAAGAGGGGATTCTGTTACCACTACCCTGACACTCCCAACAAAATATAATGACTTTAATGATATATTTGATGAAAGAGAGGTGAATAGATTACCAGAGCACAGTCCCTATGACTGTGCTATAGACTTAGTATCTGAAAAACAGCCTCTATTGGGCCTATATATGGACTGTCAAAATTAGAATTAGAAATACTGAAAAAGTATATAGAAGAAAACCTGGACAAGGGATATATTAGGCACTCTAGATCTTCTGCTAGGGCTTCTATAATATTCGTCAAGAAAAAGGATGGGTCATTGAGATTATGTGTAGACTATCGTGATTTGAATCAAGTTACTATAAAAAACAGATACCCACTTCTTCTTATTTCAAAATTACTACATCATTTATCCTTAGCTTGAATCTTTACTAAAATAGATCTGAGAAGCACTTACAATCTAGTTAGGATCAAACTAGACGATGAATAGAAGACTACATTTCATATCTGTTACTGTCTTTTAGAATATTTAGTAATGCCTTTTGGGCTTACAAATGCTCTGGCAGTCTTTCAACATCTAATGAATGATGTGTTCAGAGATTTTTTAGATAGATTCATTATTATATACCTGGATGATGTTTTAGGATACTTAGCAGACTCTAAAAAACATACCCTACATGTAAAACAAGTTTTAGAATAACTTCGTCAATTTGGTTTGTATGCAAAACTGGAGAAGTGTGAGTTTGAAAGAGATTGAATCGAATTCCTAGGGTATACTATAAAGTCTACAAAGATAGAAATGGATAGAAAAAAGGTTAACAATTTGCTTTTATAGCCTGTACCCACAACTCTTAGAGAAATATAGCAGTTTTTAGAATTTGCTAATTACTACTATCACTTTATAAAAAACTATTCTCAAGAGGCCACACCTCTTACAAACCTGACTCAAAAATTAAATAAGGGGTTCAAATAGACCAGAGATGCACAAATAGCTTTCGAGAGGTTAAAGAAAGCTTTTACCTCAGCCTCAATTCTGGTATATATGGATCCTAAAAAACAATTTTTTTTGAAAACTAATGCTTCAGACTATGCTTTGGGGGCCATACTGTCCCAACCTCAAGAAGATGGCCATCTGCACCCAGTTGCATATTACTCTCAGAAGTTCTTATTCACAGAAGTAAATTATGATGTTCACGACAAGGAGCTTCTAGCTATTATAACTGCTTTTAAACAGTGGCATCATTATTTAAAAGGAGCCCAACATAAAATCATCATCTATTGTGACATAAAAATCTCCAATACTTTACTTCTGCCCAGCTCCTCAATTGTCATCAGGCCCGTTGGTCATTATACCTGTCCAACTGCGAGTTTGAAATCCTATTCTGTCCAAGAAAAGATCAAGGCAAATCAGATACACTGTTCCACAGGCCTGATTATAATCCTCCCCAGGGCAAATCTATCTCTCACCAAACGGTACTGTTGAAACAAGAGAAAATTTGTCTAAATGCCATTTCAACAGCACCATTAGATTATGTCATTCGGCAATGTGTTAAATCTCAATTAAAAGCAGATCCGCTCACCTTGGATGTTATAAGACACCTAAACAATACTATTACAACTTACAATAGCTCTCGATCTGACTACTATAAATTTTCATATGAAGATGGTCTGCTTTACAAAGATAGGCTATTATATATATCTGGTATAGCAGAACAACTTGAGATATTGCAGGCTCAGCATGACTCTAAGTTAGCTAGGCACTTTGAAACAGCTAAAACTATTGAATTAGTAACCAGAGACTATTGGTGGCCCAATCTCCAATCCTTTGTATGTAACACATGTGCTAGATCAAAGACACCAAGACATCATCCTTATGGATTGTTAATGCCTCTGCCTATTCCTTCACACTAATGGCAATCTATATCTATGAACTTCATAACTGACTTACTTATATCCTTGGGTTTAACCCTATCTTAGTGGTGGTAGATTGTCTGACGAAAATGGCCTATTTCCTTGCTTGTCATAAAAATATTACTGCCGAACAAACCGCCCGGTTAGTGATTCGGGAAATAGTCCATCTACATAGAATATCCAAAGAAATTATCTCTGATAGAGGGCCACAATTTGCTACCTGATTCTGAAAGCACCTCTTCGAACTTCTAAAAACAAAAATCAGTCTATCTTCAGCATATTATCCACAGACTAGGGTTCCGCAATTTGATTTGATTTGATTTGATTTGATCAAATATTTGAACTCAAATCAAATTCAAATATAGAA